ACAAATAAGGAATCCTACTTCGCGGAATTTCATTTATCATGGTAGGGTCTAGAACCGATTAACCGCGATAAACGAGGGTTCACTGTATATCATTATATGACATTTCACATTTATGAGAATAGTAAAAATATATGCTTAAATCACTTTAAAGTAAGGTAAGGCTCTCTCCCATGTAACCTCTCCCCTTGGATAAATATTTTTTTTATTCTTGAGAGAGGCCAGACTTTGGGGTCAGTTGTGGCCTCATTATCAACTGTGGCTTCAGGTCACAAACATGTGAAAAGGAGGCACAGTAAAACAAACCGGATACACAGACCCCCAGATTCACTGTTTTTCCACCTATGAGTTCTGGGGTCAGTGGGTAGAGGTCTTGGATAGGGGAGCATTTCCATTGTTGTTGTTCTTAGGGGCCACTGAGTTGCTTTCAACCTATAGCACCATTGGTTCTTGTTCATATGCTACTTCCTGAAATGGTGGAGACTGCTGGCTAGTTCTTTTTAGGACTTTGAATATTCCTCCCATCTTTTCTTGATGCTTCAGCTTCTTTCAATATTTTGCACACAGAATTAGAAAACCAAAGGGGAAGAACACATTCAGCAGATCTGAAACTGAAAGAACTCAAGAAAACCTTCAAGCCTTGAGTTGCAATTGTGAAAGATTCTAAGTCACATTTTATTATAATATTTGGCTTTGTCTTCTCAAGTTGCCCTTTGAAATTTCTATTCAACTCTTTGACTTCATCATTTCCTCCATTTGCTTGAACTACCCTATAATTAAGAAAAAGTTTCAGAGTCTCTTCTGACCTCCACTTAAATTTTTTTTTCTTTCTGGGAGCTTGTCACCATGCTTGACGCCACTCTGATGACTTATCTCACCTCAGTCACAATTCGAATGCCCTCAGACTTGAGGGGCCTGTGTTAGGCTGGGCTGACTTAGAGAAACAAACCAAGTGACACTCATATATGTGTAAGAAAGAGCTTTACATCCAGAATTAAACATCAAGGAAACATCCTAGCTCAGTCCAACTCGAGTCCATAAGTGCGATACTAGTCCACAAGTCCCTCTTCAAGTCACACAGCCACAATGCAAGGATGCAACACGATCACAGGCTAGTAGGTGCCAGGTGTTGTGGATCCGAGGTCGGTGGAAAATATGGCAAGGTTCTAGCAGCTCTCCTCACGGCCAGAGGCAGAGATACAGAGAGAGGCCAGCTTCTAGACAGCTATATATCTCTGTCGCCTCCAAGAGAGGGCATCAGGCTGTGAGTTGACTGATAGGCTAAACTCCACCCATATCTTCTTTTAGGTGCCATTTTGGCACCAGAAATCCTAACTCTCACAGGGACCATTCTCTGTTACTATCTCCAACAATATTCTGCTTCCATTCTTTGTGCCTTCAGTATCTGATAATCTTTCATATTTATACATGAGGTTTCTCAGCAGCTCCTTCTTTCAAAGTGGGGACCCAAGTCCTTTTTTGTTATCTATTCTTAGTCTGGAAACTCCACTGAAACCTGTTCACTTTGGGTGACCTTGCTGGCATTTGAAATACCAGTGACATAGTTTCCAGCATCACACTGACACATAAGCCAGCACAGGACAACAAACTGACAAACAAGTCATGGGGCATTCCCCAAGGGAACAAAAACTCAACATAGTTCCGGATAGGATAAGTCTGTGCCTGCCTGAAAATTCTGGCTGAATACGACTGGATTTGGTTCGAAATGGCACTAGCCCAACCAAAGTCATAGTGTAAAGAGAGACTTGCAGAGGACAGCCATCGGTGGCTGCAGAGGATGAAGCAGCCTCAGGGCTACTTACAAAATGACTCCAGGATCCTGAGAGGTATTTGGCCACTGAAGTTTCATGAAATGCTAATTTTCACAAATAACCAGGTCTTTAGACCCTAGCCATATTGCTAAGTGAAGAGTAGATGTCTAGTCTTTCATACTAGACACAATTTAAATGTATTTTCAAAGTAAAACACGTTATTCACTGTTTACAAGTTTAAGCACCAGTCTCCTTGCTTGCTCCTCAATACTCACCATGAGACACATCTGAGCACAGCTGGTTAGTGATATCTGATGCGCTGCTGCTCCGAAACATCTGCTGCTGTGGTTCCTCCACCACGAGGTGGCCAGCTTCTATACCAGGTGTATTTTCTAAGTGTTGACATTCTTCCACTTCTGTCAGTTGACATAAAACATGTCTTTAAAATTTTTAAAAACAATTTCACTGATTAAAGTAGATGATTCTATAAGTGAAATGCTAGGTGCTTTTAAAAAACACCTCAAATATCTTATGCAGTAAAATAGTTTGTATTTGTATGATAAAGCTCTCTACACTGGCATTCCACTCCAAAATCATTTTTATTCAACAAAGTAAAGGAAGCAGAAAAGAATGCCACTAAAAGAGACTAAGAAATGTAAAACTCATTTGCTGTTTCAGGAGCAATCATACAAAAGAACCAAAGATGTGGGAGATGCATGCAATGGGCAATTAACAGGTGAGGAAATTAGAAAGCAATACAGACACAGACACAGATGCATACAAATAAAATTAAAATAAAATTAAGGAAAAACAAGAGAGTTGTTTTTATCATTCTTTTCAACAGATAAATGCACAACTATCTAAAATAAAATTTTTAATTATTGGTTTGCATCACCACATTGTAACAGGTTTTTCTTTATATGTGACCTTTTGGGGTCCTGGGTTTGCAGTTCTGCCAAGATTACTTGCTAGATCACAATCTTTTTTAAAAATTTAATCATTTTATTGGGGGCTCATACAACTCTAATCACAATCCATACATGCATCCATTGTGTCAAGCACATTTGTACATTTATTGCCCTTATCATTTTCAAAACATTTCCTTTCCACTTGAGCCCTTGGTATCAGTGCCTCATTTTATCCCCTCCCGCTCCGCTCCCCCCATCCCTCATGAACCCGTGATAATTTATAAATTATTATTATTTTGTCATATCGTACACAGTCTGACTCTCCCTTCACCCACTTTTCTGTTGTCCA